TCCTGGGATGACTTGTTTGCTCCTGCGGACATACGGAGCTGTGTGGATTGTTATTTTTCTCGGTTTTCCTTTTTTTTTTTTCCCCCTGACTTTTCTGAATTCTCGACCGTACAAGCTGTAATTTGGAATTTCATCCCTAGTTTCAGCTTAAGCCCTGGTTTATGCCTGCAAGTCCTGTGGTTTTTTCATGTGCGACTATGAACATAGACATGTTAAAGGCTGCTGGTGTGGTAATACATTAGAAGGATACTCTCTAAAGTTTGATAGTCGAGAATTTCCATTTTCCCCCTCTTTATTTCAATTGAACTCACATCACATAAATGGAAGTGGCATATGGTCTTTGAAGAGTGTATAGTGTGGCAAAGCAAAAGCACTGTGAGCTGTATGTTCATCTGGGTGCAGGTGTGTTCCTGGTTTATGATGGTGTTCATCTGCAGGTAGGCAGACTGATTTTTCTTTTCTCAGGCATCACTTGGTCTGTGAATGAACTATTTTAGTTGTTGCCAGAGAGAAGATGCTCTTGCAGGGAGAGACTCAATGCCTGATCTAGTTGAGAGGCGTCCCTGCCCATGACAGGGAGGTTGCATTGAATGATCTCTAAGGTCCCTTCCAGCCTAGGCCATTCTGTGATTCTATGATTCTGTAGTTCAGATCAAATCAGGATGAAAGGAGTTTATTGATCTATTTAGTGACATAATGAACTGTCAGGCAGTTAATTGAGTTACTGTTTAAGCAGTTAATTGAACTATATATTAAAGATCGAGCAACTACACAACAGATACAAGACTAAGCACTTTGAAAATGTTAATAAATACCTACAAATATTTAAACAGCCTTCTATATCTAATTCCAAGGAACTGTGGCCTCCCCCCTTCCCACAAGCACATATTCGCACTGTTACATCCACACACAGCTCCCTCTCTCAGCAGATCCCCGTTTCAAGCGCGATCCCCTCTTCTGACCATGGGGATTCTCTTGTTTCTCTTGTTGTGTCTATGCAATCTGTGAGTCCACACACCAGTGAGATGTAGATGATAGCTACTTTTTGCAGCCTTTATTGCTACAGTAGTTGCTGGAGTGGAAGCAGGTCACGGTGTCTTACAGGGAATCGGCTCTGCCTGGCCTAGGCAGAGGTTGTGGTGCTGTTAGGGCAACATCTGACCATGTCAAACCTCATCACAACTGCGTTTTTTTCCCGTTGCCCTCCCTACTCTAGCCAGTTTTCGTGCCTCACTTATACATCTTCCCAGACTGACTCTTGTTTGAAGGCTTTTGGTAATCCCTTGGCTATAATGTTGGAGCGTAGCCCTCAGCTTTTTGTATATAGAAGGCTTCTGTGCTATGGTGTAGTCCCAGGAGAAAACTTTCTCCTTTTCTAAGGTGTGAGAAAGAATGTAGTAGTGAAATGCTGCTTCATCTGTATTGGTTTTTTTCCATTTCTAGTCAGGCATTGCCACCTACTGACAAGAAAACAATTAGGGTGAAAACATAGCATGTGGCTAGGATAGATATTGCTGAGGGTATTTAAATGATTGAAACTATTTGCTATGAATTATCATAATTTCTGTCTAATCAGATTTCCTTGTATTCCTTTTGGAAAAGGATGGTGAAAAATCATTTTATGGCTTGTTTTGGCATATGCATCTTCTTTTGTGCATGTGCACATGAAGCCAGTTATTTAATTCATTTAAAGCGACTGTTAAGGTAACTATTAATATTATTAGGTAATATAATCTGATCAATTTAAAGTGTAAGTGATAATGGAAAATGTAGTAGAAAAAATGCAATGAAAGCCTTAAAATTTTCAAATAATCACTTTTCGTGGAATTCATGTATTGCTGCTATACTCTTTTAAGCTCTCAGTTTTGCCACTTTTGATTTACAAGTATGCTTAAAAAAAATTAATAGCAGAAACCTTCCACAATACTGTGGGAAGAAATATGCCATGTCAGTAGAGTGTAGTATTCTTCTTATGCAGTTCCCTGGAGAGAAACGGGAAAAAGTTATGCCTCAATTACTGAGGCACAGGTTTGCAGAAATGGGGGTGTGTGGGTGGGACACTGCTTTCTGTAGCTGAATCTGTGTGGGAGCAGTAGGTCACATACAGCAAACTGGGCTTAGATGTATGAAAAAAATCTTGTTGGGAACTGAAAATTACTTAGCTATAATTCTAGGTATTTGAATTCTACTGCAGCTCCCTAGCAGTGACAAAATATTGATAGGTTAGTTTGCGATATCTGCGCGAGAGACGTTCTGCTTGTCTCGCTTACTCACTGCTTACACACTTCTCACATTCAAATTTTCATGGGACAGGTGAAGGGATAAGGACGTGCATCGCACACATCTTGCTGCTTGCAAGACTTTGTGAGGACTTAGTGAGGGAGTAGAGTTTTACATTATGACAGATTTCTCTAAGGTGGTTTTTTATTTTTAAGACAAAAAGAAACCCCAAACAGTCAGTTCAGTAGTTGCACTTGTGTAATAGGCTCCTTTTTGAAATATGAAGTGAGAAACAATGTTTGTGTTCTAAAATATAAACATAGTGGATGGTAAAGTGTTAAAGTGTTCAGGCAAAAAGTACTGATTTCAGAAAAAGACAGTAAAAATTTTAAGGATTTTTTTCCCAGTCATGGTAGTTTGACTTCACCAGGTCTGTGTTTTGTTTTGTTTTCAAAAAGCAACCAAAGCAGTCAGTGGCTTAAGGGGGAAAATATAACTTACGTAGTTTAAAAAGTATAGTTATTCTTGAAGCTAGTTTCTCTGTTGTATTGTGTGCAAACTGGATTTTTGATACTGGGCATACTGCAATATTACTGCAACGTCAAGGCAGGACAGCACGTGTGACCAGTACGAGTTGTTCTCAGCCTTGCAGAGCCTGGTTGTGAGAAACGGCTTCTCTTCAGATTAGATGCCTCATTTCAAAGTTAAACGCCACAACTGCTCCTTTACAGTATCTCTTTTTAATCTAATAAGCAAAACAGAATCTTGCTGTTCTGCATGCAATAAATTCACTTTTTTTGTTCTTCTTTTATCCCCTGCAGCGTCTTAAAAAAAACCAAAAGTGCTCGGTTTTGAGAAATGTGCTGTGATTCAAAAAGGAGGTTTTTGCTCCTCTATGCAACGCAAAAGGGGCAGGCAAAAGCCATAGCAGAGGAAATATGGCAGCAAGCAGGTGCTCACGGACTCGAAGCCGATATGCACTGTATAAGTGAAATGGACAAGGTGAGATACTCCATACTGTTTACAGAAATAGGTGGTTTAGAGCTACATTTTTCTTCGTGTGATTTAAGTGGTGATTGTTAATAATCATGAAGGCTGAGCACATGCACCCAACTAAAATATAATATGTGGTTATAAATTTTTGTTCTTATGAATCAGTAATTTGAACTGATATTCACAGGTGCTTAATAGCCTTCTGCCAAAGGTACATGTTTCTTGTGATCTTTTGTATTAGAGCAGTGAGTTGATTTATCTTTGATCTTTCTTCTGAACAACAGTGCAGTGACTTCTTGAAAACTATTTATCTATGCAGTAGTGAATGAATTCTGTATTTACAGGTCAGCTGTCCTGTTAGAAATGATGTATTTTTCCCCCCTGTTGTTTTTGTGTTGCATTGAGGTCCTGTGTGGGCTCCAGCATAACCCTGAGCTTTGTGGAGTCTTTTTGAGTTACTTAGCAGGTACGCTCCCTCCAATTCACACTGACTGCGCTCAACTTTTATTCTAGAGGGAAATAAAAAGCTTGACTGGAGCAGAGAAGTGGGATTTTATTATTTGCTGTTATCCAAGGGTAAGAATCTGAAAACTGTTAGTGTATGTTTGTACCTAGAAGCAATATGGACTGTAATTTCTTTCAGAAAGTACTTTCAAACATTTAAAAACCCAAACAAACAGAACTTGGTGGCCTGGTATTTCATATGAGGTGAGCAGGAAATAACACCTGAAAGAGGTATTTGTGGTTGGTTTTTTTTTTCCATTCACTTGAAAATGTGAGATATTTATAAAAATAATTTAGTTCCATTTTAGCAAATTGCTTTCTTGGGGATGCACTGCATGTTGCGTAGCCGGACATTGGCTTTTGAATGGATGTTCACTGGTCATGTAGTAGAGTGTTACAAAGAAAGTTTTATGCAGCCAGCAGGAAATGTGAAGATTCTCCTTATATTCTTCCATTTCATTTCGTCTGCATTTGACAGATTGGAGATTAGTTTCAGGAAGGTGGTTGGCAGGATATTTCTAGCCCTGTTACTGGCCTGCCACATGAATAAATCTGTTTTGTCAAATTTGGCAAGACAACTCAGAGCTGCAAGTTATTGATGAGGTGGAAAGATGTACTGAATTGAGAATCTGAGATGGGGGCACTGAGGAAAAAAGTAATTTCTGTGGCTTTCTAGATTTCATCACTTAAGCTTCCCTTTACCTTTTACTGTAAATAAAGAGAACTTCTAGAAGCTTAAGTGTAATTGGGGAGGGGAAGGCAGGGTGGCAAAATGCAGTGGAGCAAGAGCTTTATTGAATTTGGTGGGGCCCCTTGGGAAATCCTTTGGGCATATTAGATCTGAGAGTTAATTGCATAACGTGCACAGAACAGAGGGATGTGTGTGTGTATGTGTTAGCTGAGGAAGTAAGAGGTTTCTGTTTTGTCCATATTTGTCAGTTAGAAGGCCCATCTTTATGTGGCTGTTGGGTGTTTTTCAGACCTTGCTTTGAAAGTCTGAGGGTGGAATAGGTGGCTACAGAGTCAATAGTCATAATGTGACCCTGCTGCTGTGGTCAAATACAGCTCAAGTCCCAAGAAACACTAGGTGGTGTTAAGTAGTGTCTCTCACCTACACTCTTCAGGGGTGAGAAAAGGTCATAAATCTTTGGCTGGTTACTGTGACTGCTTTTTGTGCTTGATGAAAGACTGAGGTGAAGTGGCAGTGGGATAGGAGCAGTGAAACAAGAGGTGAAATAGAGATCATCTTGGGTCACAGTGCATATAGTCAGCCTTGGATAAATTATCTGAATAAACACATTTGCCATGATATTTATTATTCTGGATAAGACATACCTGAGTGTCCGAGCTCTTCCTTCTCCTTCAGCAATCACTCAGAGCTTGAGCAGGCTCCTCACTGCTGTTGGGTAGCATTGCTGTCCTCAGCTGAGGAGTGCTTTTGAAGAAAAGGGCAAGAATGAGACAAAGATGTATTGCTACAGATAAAGGAAGCAGTGGAAGGTGGTGTAAAAAAATTATCTAACTGTGTAAGGTTCTTGTTGGTCTACGTGTCAGACCTCCCAGAATTGAGACAAATTAATGCAGAACTTCTGTCACCAACGTTTGGCTTCCAGAAGGTCTTTTAAGTTTGCAGAGGAGATAATCTGGTTTATGTATTCCTAACCTTTTTGGATTGTAGGTGTAAGGGGTAGTTTTTTATGTGGCTTGAGGAGGTGATAAGATTTGAGTGATTTATTGAGTGAAGTGTTTAGAACATAGCTCTAAAGTTTTGAATTGCAGTCCTGGAACTGCCTGAAATGAAACATAGCATCTCTTCCAATCTTTATATTTTCTCATAACCCTGCCATTTTATTGAACTTGAAACACTGGGATAGAGCTTAAACTGAAACCTTCATGGAGCAGTAAAAGGATCTTGGGTTGCTTATTACAGAAAAAAAAGGCTGAGGAGTGACCTAATAGGAGCCTACGTGAGCCAAACTCTTCTTGGCAACAGAAGACTGTAGAACAGGAGGCAAAATCCACTGAGTGCAGCCCAATAAACTCAGATTTGACACTAGTAAAAGCTCTTCTGGATGGAAGAGGCTGCCAGAAAAGTGGAATCACTACACTTAGAAGTGTTCAAAATTCAGAGTCACACCTGGCCTAATGCAGCGTTGATGGTTAGTCCCACTTGGAGGTTGTGGTGGGACTAGGTGACCTCGGGTCACTCCCAGGCAAGGTGTCTGTGATTCACTGGGGCTACGTTTCCCACTGGCCATCCATGTGGTTCACAACCCGTAGCCCGTGGGCGTGGAGCTAACCTGGCAGGTGGCACAGTGCTGCAGCCTGGAAATCATCAAAGCAGCTGGAATCATCAAAGAAACAGAATGCTTTTGCCTTGAGAAGTGATAAATGGTTGCATGAGACCTGAATTTAGGGAGCTGACATGCGATCTCAGATATAGGCATATCTTGTCAACTTGGTATGAGTGGAGAAGCCCCCGTAAAGGGGAGATAAATGAATTGGGGGCAGGGAGAAGGGGCCAAAATTAATCTGCGTCAAGAGGAATGTGGCCAGCAGATCTAGAGAGGTGTTTCTCCCCCTTTACTCTGCTCTTGTGAGACCCCACCTCGAATACTGCATCCAGTTCTGGTGTCCCCACCGTAAGAGGGACATAGATCTGTTGGAACAAGTTCAGAGGAGGACCACCAAGATGATCCAGGGGCTGGAGCACTTCTGCTACGAGGATAAGCTAAGGGAACTGGGATTGTTCAGTCTTGAAAAGAGAAGACACCAGGGTGACCTTATAGCTGCCTTCCTTTACCTGAAGGGAACCTACAGGAAGGCTGGGAAGGGACTTTTTACAGAAGTGTCCACTGATAGGACAAAGGGAAATGGGTTTAAGTTAAAGGAAAATAGATTTAGATTGGATCTTACAAGAGTAGCAGGACTCTGGAATAAATTGTCCAGAGAAGGTGTGATGCCGCCTTCCTTTAGGTGTTCAAGGCCAGGTTGGATGAGACCTTGATAGTCTGATCTAGTTGAGAGGCATCCCTGCCCATAGCAGGGAGCTTGGATTAGATGATCTCTAAGGTCACTTTCAACCTAGGCCATTCTGTTATTCTATGATTAATCAAATTGTAGAGTGTGGTGACTTATTATCCCTGTTCAGAGCCACCTTGGTTCCCCCAAAACACAATTGGTTTTGGCTTTTTGTGGAAACTATCAGTCAGAGCCAAATGACCCCTAACAGAATTTAGAAATGATCTCCACAATCTGTACAGCCACACACCAGTTATTTGTGTGAAATTGTCGGGGTTATGTCTGTGACTGTGCTTGTATATACAGAAATACTTTTTCCACTTGACAAAGCAAATACTGTAGTAGTTGTGTATTTAAGCTGTCTGAGTGCGCTTGCGAGGTATTCTTGGCACATGTACCAGCCTGCTCAAAATGCTGCCTTTCAGCGTTTGTTTATGGGATCAGAGGATAATTCAGCTTGGAAGGGACCTCATGAGGTCATCTTGCAGCAGGGTCAGCTAAGGTCTCAGTGTGTTCCTCAGGGCTTTACCCAGTTGGGTCTTGAAAACTCCAAGATTATAAGTTGCATCTCCAAAATGACTTATGATTACTTGAAAGACTTTCTCTGCTTTAATACAGGTGAGATTTTGTGGTTTTCGATATACCTTTCGGGAAAAGGAGAGGTGGAAGATAATATCTAAGGCCACAAATGGGTATCAAATGGCACCATGTAACTTAATTGTTCTATTACTTGTAGTATAACCTGGAAACAGAAAAGGATCCTGTAGTTATCGTTATTTCCACTACTGGTACCGGAGACCCACCAGACACTGCCCGCAAGTTTGTTAAGAAAATTCAAGACACGACCTTGCCACCTGATCATTTCGCACATCTCCAGTATGGATTGCTAGGTGATGTAATATTTTCTATATTATTGCAGCACTTGTCTGTTAGTGAATAATTTTTATATTTTTTTACTCGTGAATAGGGTGTTTGGGGTTTTTTTCGGGGCTTATAAAACATTTTTATAACATGAACAGCTTTTTTGTGTAATGTCCTTCATGAGCAATAAAGGAAAAGTGTCATTGAAATTATCTGAATATAAGCTTCCAATTTAAATTTTTTATAGTTTAATTTTCCTTGCGTAAACAATGTAGGCTATAAGCTATCTATAACTGTTGAAGTTTTAATTTCGTGTCAAGTCTTTATGGACTAGATGAGCTTACTTGACTTTGCGAGTAATTGGACATTTTTCTATAGAGAAGGAAAGGCAGTATAAGGTGTTCTTAAAAAATAAAGTTTTAAGGTCATCCCATCCCTTTAAGTCTGCAGTATTTTTTTTTAGATTTAGAATGTCATACACTTCAATAGAAAAAAATATAACTTCTAGTTAAAGACTGATATGCAAAATACAGAATTGGCAAAATACATGTGATGTATTTTGAGCTGGTAGTAAGGTCAGTTTGTTGAATTTTGAGATTGTGTTTAAACAAACTCCAGAAGCTTCTTTTTGAAGCTGGGTGTTTTTTGCCTGGTTTTGACAGGTGTGCCTTTTAGCGAGTTTAAGTTGATATGCAGGAGTGAGGAAGCTTCTAGATTTCTCTTGAGGAAAGTACCCCCTAGAAGGAAATTTCTAGTGGATGTATAATGTGGAAGTCTAAACTATGTGCATCCTAATCATGTAACGTAGACAGGCTGGAGAGTTGGGCGGGGAGAATATGAAATACAGCAAGGGCAAGTGTAGAGTCTTGCACCTGGGAAAGAACAACCACCTGTGCCAGCACAGGTTGGGGACTGACCTGCTGGAGAGCAGTGTAGGAGAAAGGGACCTGGGGGTCCTGGTGGACAGCAGGATGACCATGAGCCAGCAATGTGCCCTCGTGGCCAAGAAGGCCAATGGCATCCTGGGGTGTGTTAGAAGGGGAGTAGCTAGTAGGTCGAGAGAGGTTCTCCTGCCCCTCTACTCTGCCCTGGTGAGGCCACATCTGGAATATTGTGTCCAGTTCTGGGCCCCTCAGCTCAAGAAGGATCGGGAACTGCTCGAGAGAGTCCAGCACAGAGCAACTAAGATGATGAAGGGAGTGGAACATCTCCCTTAAGAGAAAAAGCTGGAAGAGCTGGGTCTCTTTAGCTTAAAGAAGAGGAGACTAAGGGGTGACCTCATTAATGTTTACAAATATATAAAGGGTGAGTGTCAGGAAGACAGAGCCATCTTTTCAGTGATGTCCAATGACAGGACAAGGGACAATGGATATAAGCTGGAACATAGAAGGTTCCACAAAAATATTATGAAAATCTTTTTCCCTGTGAGGGTGGGAGAGCCCTGGCACAGGCTGCCCAGGGAGGTTGTGGAGTCTCCTTCTCTGGAGACATTCAAACCCCGCCTGGACACGTTCCTGTGTGACCTACTGTAGGTGATCCTGCTCTGGCAGGGGGGCTGGACTAGATGATCTTTCAAGGTCCCTTCCAAACCCGAACATTCTGTGATTCTGTGAACTTTTTGAGAAGATATTGTGCTATTGCTTAATTATACATTGCAGTTTGTGAAACAGGTTTTTGTAGCTGACTGAATGCATGTACGCATAAGTGAAGATAATAATTGTATTAATACTGATTTTTGTTGTAACAGATATTACTATAGTATTGAGTTATAACATGTTTTGTGATTCTAGTCTAGGAAGTTATCAGTCTTAAAATATGTTCATGGTGTCCATTTGAGCTTGTCCAGTGAAGTGTTTGGTCAAAGTACCATATTTGAGAGTGAGTAGAAGTCTTTTTTTTTTTTTTTTTTTATAAAAGAAGAAAAAAAATCACTTGTAAAGGAGAAAGGAGTAGTCCATTGTTAGGTGGGGGTAATAAGGATCTAGTGGTTTGAAATTGCACATGAGAAAGGGTCAGGCTGTGAAAATTCGCAATAGTTAGGATAGTGAAACGGAATTTGTGAACACTACCTAACCAATGGCCTTTGGGATTGTCAGACAAGCATCTGCTAAGGATGAGGTATGTGTGGTTGATCACTTTGAGGGTGAGTCAGTGGTTTAGTTGATCTCTTAACATCTCAGGTCCTGCATGAGTTTGCCTCTTGAGTCCCCTGTTTAGTTGATAACAAAGACCATCTTCTAACAGAACATCCTCACAGCAGTTAAAAGACGGAAAACCCAGTGCAGTAAAGATGAGATGTACAAAGAAATCTCCCGATTCCTGGGAAGGAGGGTGTTGAACCAAATTCCCTTATGTACATTTTCCTATGTTTCTTACTCCATATTGTTTAAAATCAAGGTTCCAGTACTTTTTTTAGTTACTTTTAGTAGTCTCTGCCTTATGTTGTTGACATAAATTAACAATTTTAACCTGAAGGTAAGATGATTTCTTTTGGTAATTCACACAGAGTTTATCGGTTTCACTCTTTTTAACTGTTTCAGTTACTTATATTTTTTCCCATAAGGAGTGGTTTTGTATTTTTTAAAAGCCTCAGACTAAAGCAACTTTCTTCTGAAATGTGAAATACTGAAAGCAAAGTATTTTCAGAGAAATTGTGTATTACATTTGGAAAGGAGGAACCACTTCTTCAGGTCTTCTTTGCACGACAAACACGTAAAAGTGGCCTGGTAATGTGCACTTTGCTATATCAGATTCTTCTATTTGTCTGCAAGAAGATCCTGTGTTATCTTGGGAGATCTTTGTGTTGCCTGTGTGGCTGCCTGATTGCCATGATTTCTCTTTCCTTGAATTTGCTAGGTCTGGGAGATTCAGAGTACACGTTCTTTTGTAACGGTGGAAAGACAGTAGACCGACGACTTCAAGAACTTGGCGCCCAGCACTTCTACGACACAGGATTAGCAGATGATTGTGTAGGGTAAGAGCTGAATAAATTTGGATTTTGTTTCTTCAAGATGCAGTAATTAACACGTGAATTTGGCTCAACATTCTGAACTGCTTAAAATCAGTTGAACCTGGATACTCAGCAGCTAATAAGCATGAATCCTGTCTGAACACAGCATGCCTTTTCAACCTCAGTTGCCATTAAATAAAAGTCCATTTTTAAAGTGTGAGCAAACATCTGTAATTTAGAATAAGGGGAGAGGTTCAAAAACCTAGTCTGTTTACTGAAGCAAATGAAAATAAATCCTGTTCCTGGTTTGTGAGGTACTGTGTAATAGGATCTCATTCTACATACACATCAGACTTTTATTCAAGCTCACATCTTGCAGTAGAGCTGCTTTAGACAAACCCTAAAATGTGTTTTTAATATTTTTCTCTCTTCATTAGAACACATTATCTTTTATTTCTTCTAGTTTTTTTCTAGTTTTAAGTCATTGTAGGGGAGTTATGTAAGAAGGTTTTTTTTGATTGTGCTTTAGGAATTATGTAAGAAAACAAGTCCCTTCCTGTTGTGTTGCTCTTTCTGGCCAGTAGGCTGCAGTCTTGGCTTATTTATTTTGAGCTGCAGATTCTGTTGGTTCTGTGCACGATGATGCAAGGCAGTGGAACACAAACACTACCATAACCATAAAACTTATATTTTCTGTACTGAAATAATAAAAATGGACCATTAGGGGAAGCTAATGATGTTGCTGTTGCACAATGGAAAGTTGCATATTATACTGCCCTGCCTTTAACTTGGTGTCATAAAGTTCATCATAAGAGAGTAAAAATGAGAAACTGGGAGAAGAGCAAGGCTTTTATACACTTTAGCCTCCATAAATTTGTGTGGGGGTAGTAACTAAATGATTTTTTTTTTTAACAAAAAAGCTGCAAGTATATATTAAAAGTAGAGAAAGGAATATTGGCTTTTGCAGTTTTTCCATTATTTGTAAACTAACAGTCTGATAAGTCACAATAATTCATCCATTCCTTTTTTTTTTTTTTCCCCTCCCTTCCCAGTTTGGAATTAGTGGTTGATCCATGGATTGATGGACTTTGGCTTGCCCTCAAGGAAGCATTTTTACTGCAGAAAGAGAAAGAAGACATGAGCAGTGTTGTCAAAGCTGCTTCTAGCTCTCTCTCTGCAGCCCCACACGTTGTGCATGAACTAAAGTTAAGCTCAGAAGTACAGAACTTGAAGCTAGAAGGTGCTGGAGTGAGGAGTTCCAATGTTCTGTCACAGAAACTGGTTGACATCAATCTTGTGACTTCAGCTAGAGACACTGAACCTTCACTTGTTCGTTCTGTCCCACCTCTCTCTCAGTCTGCTCTTAATATTCCTGCCTTGCCACCAGAATATATAGAGGTGCAGTTTCAGGACACCTGTGGTGAGGTAAGGACTTTCATTTTCATCATGAATGATGAAAGCCTTCAGCCTCTGGTAGGAGCTGAGTATGTACCCCTACATACGGCTGAAAAGAGCAAATGGATACTTATGTAAAAGAGATATGTCACTGAACGCAGGAGGTTTTTGAATTGTAGGTGAAAAATCCATTTATACTGTGAAAATGTAGTTACCGCTTATGTCAAGGTGTAATTTAGCCAAATAATAATTTGGCATTGCAGTGCCAGTAATGCAAGAATAAAAATCCTTAGTGGCTTATGTTAGGACAGTGAAAACGTCTTCCTGAAGCAAAGAGTATAGTACGAATTCTGTTCAGATTTTTGGTACTTTCTGGATACTTTAAGAAGGTGTAAAATTGCTTGAAATCTTGCTTCCTATTTGATAACAGAGAAACTTGTAATTTTAAAAAACATGATCATAATTTTACTGTTGGAAACAGAAGATGAGCTGTAAATCAAAAACCAGTGTGGTTTTCCTATGAAACCACATTGAGCAAAGACTGCTGTACAAAGAGAAGAATTAGCCTGAGCTGGGAATCCTCTCCAGCTGGCATATTTAGTGTTCAAATCAAACTGGAAAGCTTGATTTAAACTTTTCTGGTTGCCTGCCGAACAGCAGGTTCTACACGTGAGGGAGCAGTGAGATCTGGCTCCTTTTTAAATAACAAGGAGTCAGGAGCTGAGCACGGTGACACAACCAGCCCCATCCTCCAGTGCCCAAGCTGGGAGACAGCAGTCAGGATCAGCCAAGAGTACACATCATCCTGCAAGTCTATGGGAATGAGGCAGGTCTGGGGCCAAGCCAGGTCAGTCTGCACATCCAGGCCTGGATCAGTGGGATCTGTGGCCGGTCGTGGGCATGGTTGTGGCTGAGCTGCCGACACTCCCCCTGTGATACAGCTTGGGCAGGGACTGAAGACCCAGGGCTGAGGGTGGGGTTCCTGAGTAGGATGAAGTCCTCTCGTTGGGACTGGCCAGGACCGTGAAAGCCCATTAGTGTCCTCAGGGCCCTGACACTCACTCTCTTGAGAATGTCAGTGGTAATACTGAGAGCGATTAGGTTGGATATTAGGAAAAATTTCTTTACTGAAAGAGTGGTGATGCATTGGAACAGGCTGCCCAAGGAACTGGTGGAGTCACCATCCCTGGAGGTGTTCAAAAACATGTAGACGTAGCACTTCAGGACATAGATTAGTGGTCATGGTAGTGTTGGGTTTACGGTTGGGCTTGATGATTTTAGAGGTTTTCCCCAACCTTAATGATTCTGTGATTCTGTGAAAGCAGTTAATCTAGCTATTATAATTACGTAAGAGTGTATGAATTTAAACACTGGACAATTTTGCTTTTCTTTTAAACCTTATGTTGTGGTTGGCTATGCTCAGGTTGTTGAATTACATAATACAAATTACTAAAACAAAGATTTCTGATTTAGAGGTACTGTTGCATTAAAGTCTAATCCTTGGGTTGAAGGTGGTGCTACGGTGGTTAAAACAGCCTATTTTCTTACTTTAAAATTATAGCATGTATACAGGCTAATTTCCAAAATAACTGATCTTGTTCTAATGTTGGTGCCTTAACTCTTCTCACATTGCAACTGTGGGCATTTCTTGCCAAGCATAGCTGAAATTGGCTTTTTTTTTTTAAATGTATCAATTTGAGATTTGGATAGTGCCAAAAAGAGACTCCCTGCCATTTAGAGAAATCTGGGTACGTGGTCTCTCTAGTTAGTTATATGATCAAGGTTGTTGAGTCTCAGGGTTGAATTAATAAACTGCAGTTTATTAGTAGCAAAGCAGCTGCAGTCTGCATCTTAAGCCTTTGTGTAAGTGTAAGATAATTTAGCTTACATCGTCCTCTCATTATGCCCTGAACTTGACTTGGAGGGAATATAAATGCAGACAGTTGCCGTGGTCCAACTGATGCACGATAACTTGTAATGGCCCAAGCTGTTAATCACCCTGTGAAAATTTTAAAGGAGTAATAAAACTTGTAACTATTGGTCTCAAGTGATTCTGAAAAAAAAAAAAAAGGAAATGTTCAGATTAACCAATATTCTCTTTTTGGTAGAACAGATCCTTTCTGTTTGCCAGTCTATTGTTACGGACATCTCCCACCTTTTTTCATTTTTGTCTGTATTAGTCTCAGACGAAGCTTGCTGACAATAGCGATGGAGAAATGAGGGTTGTAGTCTGATCTTCACATGACAGCCTTTGATGGAGGTGGCCTGAAGTTATTCCTAGTGCTTGTTAACAATTCTTGGGGCACATTTTCACCTATGTAGAATGTTGTTTCATAGCTGGGTGCTGTTTTGTAGTGTGGAGTTTGCTGATTAGCTCTGAATTTAACTGTAGTATTTAAAATTCTTTTAATAAATTGCCTGTAATAATAGCCCCATCTGCAATCTGTAAGACTGCAGTGATGTTTTTAAATAGCTTCTGTTCTTTATTTCTGTTCTGTACACCTAGTAGTCCTTTAATTAGCTGGGACTTTTTTGAGTTTTAACACAAATGCCATTCTCTAATTGGTTAGTTTTAAGGCAGCTCTTGAAAGACAAAACGAGGAGCTGGATTTGGTAGTAGTTTAGTCCCATTAGACTGTTGAAGCCTACTGACTTTATATGGTTGGATATATGCTTGTCACTGCTTGGATATGATTTTTTTAAAATACAGAGCAAAACACTCTGTGTTTAGAAGACTTGTGAATTGGTTTCTAGGATTGTTTCCAAGAAAATTGTACCAACGCTAATTCCTGTGCACCATAGTAAGCTGTCATGCATTTTTAGTGTAAATTTTCATGTATTCTTTTTCAGAATCCACATCCGTCCTCACTGATTTCAGAGGGAGCAACCTTTGATGTGCCAGTTACAAAAGCAGTTCAGCTCACTAGGGAAGATGCTGTAAAAACCGCATTACTCTTGGAACTTGATATTGCAGTAAGTTAGTGATGGCTTTTTCTTTAGCTGGTTAAAATACAGGATAAAATGCATGTGTATTATATGTGATGCATAACTGGAGGGAGAATTATTTATTCCTCTGTTTAAAAAGAAAAGATAATTCCCTATACAAAAAGGTGTCGTCTGAGGTTGATCCGTTTTGTAAATGCAAAGCTTGATTCGTTCACTAGAAGGTATGATTCTCTGGAATTCAAAAGAGAAATAAAGTGTCAAATTAATTTCTTTGTTGTTTCATGGGTATTATATTGCCTGAAATACCTTTTTGAAGGGAATTCACGGTGGAGAAAGACAGGCAGGGAATACTGAAAATTAATAATCTTTCAGTTTGTAAGTGTGCAACTTAGGAAATATTCAGGAACTGTATAGTAAATAGTGACAAGTAATAATTTGCTATGATTGAGTGCTGAGAGTCATTAGCTCTTGAGCACTGTTTTTGCCTCTGGCATTCATTTACTCTTACTTGTTAACATAAACTGTTAACCTCTGTCAACCTATATGTAATAACTGGAGTGGTTTATTCAGGGAAGATCGTATTTTGTATACTTGTTGGTAGATAAAGGCAGAGAATAATCAGTATTACTTTATAGGAAGTGTTTATAAGGAAACTATGTTGCTTTTGAGTGATTTTCCAGTGTTCTGTTGGAATATTGTGATTTTGGTGGTAACTTTAGTCTAACTTGTGTCAGTTTCCATGGGATATCTTTAAATCTCAGCTTTGCATAAGTGAGTCTCTGAGATTACATGTATTTTTGCATATATTTTTATGTATACGTGCATCCTGTCATCAGCACACATTGAAAATTTGAGCATTTTGTGCTTTTTTTCCTCACATCCTCAACAGCCTGTGTATGCAAATCACCTTGCATAAGGGAAACCTAATGATACAAGTATAATTCTGAGCATTTTTGTTTCTTTGACAGGCAGAAGCTTGAGTAGAGTTGTAACAGTTGGGCAACTCAGCCAACTAAGTATAATCTAGATCTTAAGATCAGAGATACCTTTTAATTTTCACTGTGCTCTTCCCTTGTTGTTTTAGTTTCTAGCTCCGGAAAATAAAAACAGTTGGGGTCATTTCAGTCACAGTTCACCAGATAGTTTAACCAGCATATTTTCTGTTGGTGATAATGTGTCTCTATACAAAGTTGCATTAATTATGAGGATTTCAGTCCTCTGCTCTTCTCAAACCAGAAAACAAAAGTACATCAGTAATTAATGACCTAGGCTGATTATATAATATATCCCCTTAATGCATATTTATTTTCCTTCTGTGTAGGCTACTCAACAGGTCTTATTAAAGAGTGTCCTAATATTTAAATGAGATAAGGAAAGATTTTTCTAATTAGTATGGTTAAACCTGAAATGAAAAAATGAGTATTTAGTTTCTGATGTGATCCAAACAGTGAAATCCTAGTGTGGAGTGAAAGAACGCACAACTTCAGGTGGCTGTGATAGCAGGAAGATTGCTGCTATTAGGAATGGGGATGCTGTTGGCCTTGGTTTATGATACAGTTTAATAGAAGTTATCTCATATTTTAAAACAGGATACGATCTTTGACTACCAACCTGGAGATGCCTTCTTTGTAGTATGTCCCAACAATGTCAATGAGGTGGAAGAACTTACTCAAATCTTGGGACTTTCTGAAAAAGCAGAGTGCTTCGTTTCTGTGAAGGTTAAGCAGGATACTAAAAAGAAAGGTATGGTGTTATGCACTGGTCGTGAATTCCTTCCATGCTGGTAGCAGTTGGTGTGCACACTTCTGATTGTTTTTTGTCTTTAGTATTGGGACACAGCTGTCATTTCATGGAGGTGTGTTGGAAGTCACAGAGAGTGTTAATAAAGAGAGAACGCATGGAATGCTGCTGCTGGTTTTACTATTGATGAGTCAGCTTCTGATTGGGAACTCAAGCCTGGCATTGGCGTTCATCCATCTCACTCTCCCTCTGTGCTCATTCCTGTCTATGGAGATGAGTCTTTAATCACATAATCTAACAATCCCCCACTTGAAAGTAAAATCTCTCTTTTCACAGCACTTCACAATCTATTTTACATCCTAAGGGGCCACATTCCAAAGCAGAAGACCCTAGGGACTTGTAGGTCTGTGTGGATCCGCTCTGCTGACTCTTACAATCCCACATCACAGAACAGGTAGCTGCAGGTTCAGGGTATGCCTGGGTACTGCCAGCTGGGCCTGTGAGAAGTGCTCTTCTCTTGCTTTTCCGTCACTGGGGTGCAGGATGGGGTGGGGCTCTTTGATGTTTTGGTCTATGGGTAAATCATTTCCCAGGGCAAGATTTCCTGCATCACTGGGGGCAACAAGTTGCCTCTTAGGTATGAGATGTAAAGGGACCCTCTTCTTGGCCTTGGCAAGTAACTCCCGTGTTAATGAGGTGAGTTTATATGACAGGCCATGTTGTAACTTGTTGTATGGAATGTCCAGGCCCAGCTGATCCCCTTCTTTGACCACCGCTCCAGTAACTAACCTCTGTTGGGAAGGGTCACCAGTTAGATTTGGTCAGTATCATTTACAGACTGGTCCCTGTGCTGGGGATGAGATCTGTGTCTGCAGGACTGCGCTGGCCATTATCCAGCCCCACTGTGTTGAACACCCTCCCTCTGTAGTCACCTCCTTTCTTAGGGAACCCCCATTGTCCTTGTTCGTCTGGGACAGATACCCTCCAAACACACTTGCTGCTTCCATCTTCCACCTCAAAACAAACAAACAAGATCCCAAGGGGGTCCCACCTTTATAACAGTCTCCCTTTGGATCAGGGCTGGTCCTGAGCAGCTTCAAGCTCAAGACAGCATCATTGGTCCAGGGCCCAGCAACCATGCACAGGCAAGTGGCAAGCGATTGGGTGACGTGAGGGGATTTCACAGGTGTGCCACTTCTGCTGCTTACACTATTTATAGATTTTACAGGAGTAGGGACATTTACAAAGGAAGCAATTTAAAGGGAGGGGTATGGTGAAGGAGGAGATGGAGGGCCCAGAGCATCAGATCTTTATAGGAACATGGGCCTTGAAATTTTGTCCCTCCTGAAGGCTGGTGGGTTTTTCTGTGCGATCAGATCCCTGCTAAGTGGCTGCATAAAATGTGAATCTCTCTGTAAGTTTGTCAAGAGCACGTTGAATTTTTGCTGACTTTTTACACTTGCCTTGGATACTTGGCCAGGACCTAGCAAATTGCTGTTGATCCACTGCTTTCCAACCATGTCTTGTACACTGACTTCATCTACTGCAGTTATGAATTTGGGTTTGAACATAAACCATGTAACTTCATTTCTTTGGAGCTGTGCTGTTGAGCAGAGACTCGTTAAGTTGCTATAACTTAATTAATTCTTGTTGCCAATCGGTACCAAAGAGTTCAGCTCTGTAATGCAATTTTTAGCACTGTTCCAGAGTTGGTTGTCTCTTAAATGCATTCACATTTCTGAGGAGTTCGTAATAGTTACCACTAATTGATTGTGGGTTTACTCAATGAAGAGAGGCAAAAAACCCAAGAGGAGAGAAGAGCACAAAGAGCAGGCTGTGCCTCTGCTGCATCTTCAAGATTTACAAGGAATTCCAATTAATGTTGTTCACAACCTCTCTTTGTTCAGTCTATGAATTCTTTGATGAATTAGCTGAGAACAATTGAGAGGACAAAATAGAAATTATTTGCAGTCTGGTTCAAAGTCTATTGTTCAAATGCTGAATTTCTGTAGTTGTTTCTATACTGTGTGTATGAGTGTCCTAGGAAGAGCATTAAGTACGTCTTGTAACATGCTGTCAGCATATTCAAGAAAAGGAAGTTTATATAAATGTGAAAATGGATACTTCTTTCCTGCATTAGATTTATGCCAATCCTCTTATCTTCTGAAAGTAAATTTTGGCTTTTGTAGCAAGGGTTCAGTCAAGTAATGCTGATACAAAGAAGCAATTTAGCAAGTTATATAAGTATATTATTGCAGCGAAAATTCTGTAGTATCGAAGGGCTCTTGAGCTTGGAAGAAGGAATAGTGAGTATCAGCAGCGAGATGTCAGAGCCAAGAAACATTGTAAAGAGGAATCCCAGCATGCGACGTGGGTCTGTAAGGAGATAATTTGAGACTTGCAGAACTTATAATTAAAGGTGTTTTGACACATAAATGCTCTTTTGTTGCTTTTGGGGTTAACTTAGAATAGCCACTTTGGCGTGCCCTGAGGCTGGTAATCCTGGCTGCATCGTAGCTGACTTTCTGTGAAGGGGTAGGTGGACATTGGTGTAACCTTCTTCCCAGAAATTGAACCTGTAGAGATTACAAGTGGGATTATCTGCTTGTACAGAGACCTCTTGGATCTGCTGGGTCTTAGAAGCTCTAGCTTGGCACTAGCTGCATGCACCTCTGCTTGGATCATTAGAAAACTTTGGTATGTCATGATTTTCAGGAGTGTTTATCGATAGAAGGGGAAAAATGTGGATGTTCCTTTTCCTGGTAAGCATTCCTCTGAATTTCTTCAAAGTGGCAATAAAGCAATAAAAAAAAAATGGCAGTGAAGTGGTTTTACAATGAAATTTATCTCAACACCCATGATTATACCCCTCTTTTTGTTTTCTGCATTCCTGATGAGTTTTGACTTTTTATTGGGAAATTGTTATTGAAACTTCACTGGAAAACTCTTTTGCTGATTCACTTAAAATTTGCACTAACCTGCTGGGACTCAAACATGTAGAATTTAATGCAGTATAACTCTCTTGTATTTCTTGAAGGAGCAAGCACTCTGCTGGTTTTGGATGTTAATTGAGGCACATTTTGTTTTGTTCTGTTCTCCTTTTGAACTAGGAGCAGCTCATCCACAACATATCCCTGAAAGGAGCACTCTGAAATACATTCTAACCTGGTGTCTGGAAATACGAGCAGTTCCAAAAAAGGTGTGTCTGTGTTTGTTCCTTTAACAGATTTAACAGATTTGTTCCTACAGATCTATCCTTGTGTGTAGTCACCATATTTCTTGATGAATAAGAGTTGTCAGTTTGTATGCTGCTGTTTGTGCTTTATTCTGAGCAATTTCACTTCTGGTACTTTATCTGGCAAACTGATACTAACATCTCTATTTCTCTTGTGCTGCCCTAGTCTAGAAGTAAATAGAAAAGCATTGGATATCTGGTACCAGATGACTGAAGGCTGACTGAACCTGACCAGAATGCTAACTGAACCTGGCCCAACAGGCGCTGTAGAGAAGGGAGCCATGTCTGTCAAGATTTGTTACTGAAAATACGCACATTGCTCTAAGCAAACATACCATAATATCTTTTAAATTATTTTAAAGCTTTACTTTAGCATTTCACTAACCTGGCAGAATTCAAAGAAAGATTTTTTTTTTTTTGCTTGTATAGTATTTGTTCTCACAACGTGTGAATATTATTTTCCTTTCATTCTGTGCCTGTTAAAAAAAAATCAAGCTTGCAACTGGAAGTACGTGTGTACTTCTAGTATTGTCAAAACACTTTTGAAAGGTAGCTTTGTATGAAGGATGGAGCTAAATAGTTGTGTTGGTTGGGTCCCTGAGGGAAATTGGTTTTTGGAAGGACCTTTTCACTCAGTTCAGTGGATTTTGCAACAGAAGAGAATCTTCCAGTTGTTTCACCCTTTCAAAGCTACATTTAACAGTTTTGAAAATTTGTGTCAAAAATCAGAGTAGGCAGAGTGCTGACTGGGCAGTATTGCCCAAGCCAGTTTTTGTAACCTCTCTGCTTTATTACCTGTTCATTGTAGAATGTGCTTTATGTTACTTTATAGTCAGTACTCAGATATTGAATATTGCGTTACTCTATACTTAGAGCTATTGTCTGGAAGCTCAACATTTGAACGCACTCTGGTTACTTTCCAGGTATTCCAAGGGTGCAAGGTGGAGCGTAGGAGGTTCCACAGAAACATTAGGAAAAACTTTTTCCCTGTGACGGTGACAGAGCACTGTCACAGGCTGCCCAGGGAGGTTGTGGAGTCTTCTGCTTTGCAGGGGGATTAGACTAGATGATCTTTCGAGGTCCCTTCCAACCCTGAACATTCTGTGATTCTGTATTGTTTTGTGTAGAATATGTCATCTGATTGCACATGGTATTTTGGATCATTTTTCTTTTATGCACTCAGTTTATTTCCACCTTGCTTTTGGAAGAAACTTTGTAGCTATTTACGTCAGATTTTTATTTTATCTTGTAACGCTCAATTTAATTTTCCCTTAAGAAAAGCTTGTAGTACCATTATTTAGGCATAAAGTATGGAATAAAACACCACAGCGACATTTACATAACTCATTAAATACCATACTTTATTTACAGTAATACATTTTCTGAGACTTTTTATTATTCCTTTCCTGGCTTCTGTAACTTAGCAAATGGTGACTTGTCTTGAATTAATTTGTGCTTTAGAGCTATTTACCTAACTCAAGTGCAAATATGTAAATAAGAAAGCTTTTCGTAAATCTGAGATTTTTCAGAGAATGCATTTTGCCTGTTTATTTGTCTTTCCCTTGCTAAGTCTAAGTAGGACCTTCAAGCTTGGCCCAGACATGAGAGGAGCAGCCAAAAAGAAACCAAATTCAGAATGTGCATTGGGAAATAAGTTATATTATCCATTAATCTATCAGATGAGTGCTTCCTGTCCTCAGGCAACCCAGGTTTTTCCCAGATTTGTGACCATCTTCCCAAATGGACAACATTTTACCCTTCACTCTTATTTTCGCCTCCACAGGCATTTTTGCGAGCTCTTGTAGAATGTACCAGTGATGCAGGAGAAAAACGAAGACTTCAAGAGCTTTGCAGCAGACAAGGAGCCTCTGATTATACACGCTTTATTAGAGATTCTAGTGTTTGCTTGCTGGATTTGCTTCATGCTTTTCCAAGCTGCAAGCCTTCACTTAACCTTTTAATTGGTAAGTAGCTGATTTAGTTATAATTAGATTTGACTTCTGAATATGCATCAGACTAAATGTTCAGTTTCCCAAGAAAGTGGAATAACTGTTCAGTCAGCTGCTTTAGATGTATTGTAATATCCATAGCGAACTTGCCTGGAAGCACAGCTTTATTCTCCAGTTTGTAGTCTTTTGCCTTTGTTCTGCAAACACTTAGGAACATCCCTGTGCTTTGGTTGACTATGCATTGCTCCTCTTCTTAAAAAATAAGCTGTAAGGTGTTTGAAGGATTAGGGTCTTTAAGAAACAGTTCATCAAGTGCCTACAATTTAAGAAGACTTGTTTTTAAAACTCCTGATTTCCCTGCCTACATGTTATTTTCTTACATCTCTTTTCCCAGTATATTTGATCCAGTACATTCACTGCATTCCTTATATGAATCGTTAAAGGAATGAGACTGCCAACTGTAACCATTTCAAATACATCTGAAAATACCAACAGTTCTTTTCTGGATTAAAAAACAGTTTCTTAGTACATTTCATTATATGAAGCAGAAAAATGTTTTTTATGTTCTTGCAATTGTCTTCTTCATGCCTATCCCAAATCTCTCCTTAGTACACGGTGGGGATTTAAAAAAATAAATACAAGCTCTGTTCCACTTTGTACAAGTACATGTATTTTCATACTGAAGACAAAAACCCCTTAGCTCTTCAAAGGTGGTATGGAACATACTGTAGCAACTGAATGGAATAAAAGGAAATTCTGAAAGTTTTTATAATGCGTAAAAAGTAATGTAGTGAATGGATTTAGTATCTTCTTTAAGTGATTTCACTGAACTAGCTCTCCTTAACTCTTACTCGCCAACTATCTTACGTAGCAACTATCTTACGTAGCAAAGCATCTCTAAAATGTGCCAGAGTGTCCGTATACTGGTTGGAACATATGCCAAATGGTGGTACATGTGAAAAAACCAACAATTAAACTGTATGTTATCCTGTTACTCCACTCTATGTTTTCTGGCATTTGCTATGCCTGTTTTTTGGTATTGCTTGCTTCTCATCACCATTCCCCACCATGTTGTTCACTGAGCAATATTTCTGTCTCTGTTCAGTGTGCTCTTATCCTCAGCCAAAATGTGCCAAGTCATTCCTTTGAAAGCACCAGCAAGTCTGACCTTTTCTTTATATGTACATACATATGTGGTTGTAAATGTATGTGTGTGATATATAGTGTTGATTTCTCGTGGAAAACAATGCCCGGTTAACTCTTGTCTTTATTGGTTTTGGGTGTTAGCTGTGATTTCAAAAATTTGCATGGATGTTCATAGTATTACAGTGCTTGTACTTTGAAATTGAACTGGCACATCTGCTTCTAGGGCATTATATATACAAAACGTTCAATCAAGAAATTCCTATTCTGAGAGCTTTTGAGCTCTTAGAGAAAAGATGGGGAAAATGAAATTTCAAGGTTTACTTTGTCCCTTTGTCCACTGGTTACTGACATTTCTCCTGCATACCTTACAGTTGTTTTCAATCGACCAGAAACTCTGGTCAATTAACTGTTGCAGCCTTGTTTTAACAGATGTTCCACAAAGTATAAAAAAACATTGAAAGTAGAGTTCAAGTCTTAATAGCTTATTTCTGAACCACAAACATTGAATGGTAATAGTCATTGTCATTGGGGTGAATCAAATAAATGATGCTTTTTTTGATGTGCCTTTTTCTTTTCTTTCATTTTTCAGAACATCTTCCTAAATTTCAAGCCAGATCCTATTCAGTGTCAAGGTAATTAAATATTCAAATTATATCTCCTTAGTAATATGATTATGCTTTTCCTCAAATGTGTGTGTACACGTTATGATCTAGAGAAGAAATAAAGGAACGAAGGACAAAACCTGAGGAAAAAGTGGTTATGTCCCTGTTGCAAAAACAACACAGGGTTTCACCAAGGGCAAATCATGCCTGACAAAACTGGTGGCCTTCTATGAGAAGATCACAACATCAACAGGCAAGGGAAGAGCAACTGATGTCATCTCCCTGGACTTGTGCAAGGCCTTCGACACAGTCCCACACAACATCCTGGTCTCCAAGCTGATAAACTATGGGATTGATGGATGGACAATTCAGTGGATAAAGAACTGGCTTGACGACCATGCTCAAAGAGTGGCTGTCAATGGGTCCATGTCCACGTGGAAGCCAGTTACAAGTGGACTCCCTCAAGGATCAGTACTGGGACCAGGCTTGTTTAACATCTTTGTTAGTGACATGGACAGTGGTACTGAGTGCCCTCTCAGCAGGATTGCTGATGACACCAAGCTGTGTGGGGCAGCTGACACCCTGGAGAGTAGGGATGCCATCCAGAGGGACCTGGACAGGCTGGAGAGGTGGGCCCAGGCCAACCTCATGAAGTTCAGGAAGTCCTCCATCTGTGTCGAGGCAATCCCAAGC